CAGTTGTAATGTAATATTTCTTTCTTTGCTTGGATTACGGCAATTTTTAAGTTTTACGTATTGATGTAGTGATTTCATATGCATATTTAAGCTAATTTTGTTAAGGCAGCGAGCCTCCTCTTGTATAGCCACCAATTGTTACAACTAATATGGTTTTTGTGTGGAGGTGGTTAATTAAATGAGGCGACGTTAAATTTTGATGTTAATTTATACTCTCGGAAATACTGTTTACTTTCAGAAGTGGTCACCTCAGATGAGTTACTATACATACTTATTTTTCGCTATATATATATACTTACTTTTTATCAGAAATTACCATATATTGATTTAATTTTTTTCTGAATGTATTCTTTACTTTCATTATTTAAGTAATTCTTTATTGCTCATTATTTATACAAAAACATCTACTAAAATCATATATAACTGACCTAATAAAGACTTTATATCTGCCGTTAAGAAAAGTTATACATTTTCGGAAAATGAATTAGTTAGTTTTTTTCAGTTAGTAATTCATAAATCTTATATTACTGCAACTAAAGCATGCACACAAAATTTTAGCACATAATCTATCATGTATTACGTGTAGATATTATTTAAATAACATGCATACAAACTGAACAGCGAGCAGAAAGTAATGTATCAGTTGATACCTTAATAAGGAATCTTTGAATAATGGCAATAGAGAACGAAACTCTTGCTTAAAAATTTTTAAAAGACATTTTTCAGGAAGTTGAAAATAATGCAATGTATACGAAATTATTTGGCCTTTACGAAATGATTTAATTTGATTTAATTTAGTTTACTGTTTTAAATTTTATCTTCAATGGGAGATTTCTTAGCAATGCAATTACAGCATTGTACTTTTCTTCCTTTCTTCTCCATCCTTTGTGATACATTGAAAAAAGAATTCTTCAAAATTATGTGTATTAAAACATAACTTCTTTACTTTTCTGTAATATATTATTCACCAAAACAACCCTTCAGTTTTATATATATATGCATTATAACCAGGAAAAGATTTTAATTTCAAGTGAATGTACAGAGGCTGTTCGCACATTTTTTAGACGATTTTAATAAGCGGAAATAAAAAATCGTTTGCTGCAAAAGAAGTAATTGAAATTGTACTATGTTTTTAAAAGTCAAAATTGGCTTGAAAGTTTTGTTTTTATTCAAAATGGCGAATTTAACGAAGCAGTGGTTCGAAGGCCACATTTACGTTCTTTCCGAAGAGAAATATGCATACTCCGTTATCCAAAAACTATGTGAGAGTCATGGTTTTGTGATATCTAAAGCGTCGATAGGTAATATCATCAACAAGAAAGGAAAAAAAAATACGTCAAATTGGACCCTCAAGTGGGACAAAAATTCCAAACAAGTATCCAAGAAATAAACGGACATCTTCGACTATTGCAAAGGTACGTTGTTTAATGTTAAAAGAAAATCCCCCTAGTCAAAGGACAGTTGCAAAAACATTAAAATGCTCGGTGTCCACTGTAAAGCAAAATGATAAACGTTGATTTAAATCTTAAGAATGCGAAAAAACGCAATGGGCATCGTCTTCTTCCAAACCATATCGCTCAACGCAGGACATGCTGCAGAATTCTATATGAGAAACACTTATCCAAAGAAAAATGGAAAACAATTGTCACAATAGATGAAGCATGGGTGTATTTAAATGATTGTAACAAAAAAGAGCCATTTATTATCATAAAAGGGGAGAAACAAATTTAAGTACATGGTTCAAAGAATCAAAAGAAAGTTTTTCTAAGGGATTCATGATTGTTGCTGGTATTTCTTATAATGGCAAGTTAAAAATAAAGAGAGTGCAAAAAAATGTCAAGATTAACTCCAAATACTATCAGGAACATATTTTATCATCAATTTTTCTGAATGAAATACCATCGCTTTACCCACAGTGCCATCAATCTGTGAGACTCCATCAGGACAAAGCTAGCAGTCACACATCAAAATCCACTGTAAATTTCCGAAAAGAAATGGAACAAAAACTGGTATCAAGTCCATACCCTTCACTCATATCCCTACTAAATCTCCCGATGTGTCACCTATGGATTTTTGTGCTTTCGGACTTTTAAAAACTGCATTATCCAAACGTTGTCCCCAAACCCTAACAGGACTCTGGAAAGCTGTTCGGGAGGAATGGGATAGAATACCTCTTCTGTCACTTCAAAAGGCATTATTATCCTGGAAATTGCAGCGTCGAAAGATAGTTCAGAATAAGAGATGTCAAATGAGCATTTAAAACACAAGAATTTTGTGTAATTTAGTTTTGTGAATACAATATACCTCGTCTAAAAAATGTGTGAACAGCCTCTGTAGTACTTTCATTTCAGCCATAATAGTTATCCAATTTAGCATTAGTCCACAGTATCACAGATAACCAAAACTGAAATCAGATTCAAAAAAATACTTTTGTTTTGGATTTACATTCCAGTTTTGCATATTTTCTTGCTTTGGTTGCTGAGTGTATAACTCTGTAAGTTGTTTCAAAATTATTTTCTCAATTAGTTTTTATTAGCTCTTCGGCCAGCTTGGCACTAGTTCCATTTAAAGTGTCATAGGAAAGAACTTTATAATACAAGCTTCAGAGTTAACAATATAAATAGATCTTGTAGTGGTTATGAATGTGATGTCTGAAACGGTTTTGTTTTTCACCTAGTGAGTTCACACAGTTTGTGACAAGTCAAAGTTTTCACTTAATTATGAAACGCGCGAAAAGAGAAGAAAAAGTGTTCACTTTGAGAAGAAGCGTGACTTCTTTACGAATTGATTTCCAAGCTTTCTTGGAGCAAATGAAAGCATTTTAATGAATGCACAGAGACAATCTGTTGATGGCTGTTTTGTTTTCAATCAGCCATAAAAGGAAATCTGTTCTGCTCTTTCAGTTGGTAACCAACATATATTAATATTTTGCTTCAAGTTTCTGACACCATATGTTCACATAAAATACAAAAATGTTCACATAAAATATTTTATCTCAATTTATAATAATACATACATCTGTTAGTTTAAATAGTAAAACAACAATATAGTATTTTTTTTTTTTACTTTATTTCCGAAAACTTAAAATCTAATAATATATATGACTTTTCCTCAAAATATGCTTTAAAATGTTTGCATTCTGAGCAGTAGTCTTAAAAATGTGTATTCAGTTGTGACAAATATGGATTATTTATGTTGTCAATCACTGAACTTATTGTGATGCGTAATAGGAAAAATAGGAAATCTTTAATTATATCAAATATTTAACTATTTTAAAGACTATTTCCTTTATATGAAAGAAATGAACTCAACTATGTCTTGTAAAAACAATTTGTCATCAAATGCAGGATCTTTTAACTCTTTCGCATCGAGAGACGACCAAATCTGTTTCCAACAAACATCGAAAACGCCCGTGTTTACGAATTTGTCTTGGAATAGTTTTCCTTTCCCCCTTTTGCGGTTTCATCCATTCATCCATTGTGCGCAGTTTCACCTTAGGGCCGGATTGCACCTGCGAACGTCAATAGCTTTCCGTATTTCTCCTTTATTTGCTTCAAAAGAATGATTGACATGTCTTTTAACAACTCGCGAAACCAATGAGCCATACACTAACGTGGAGGGGAAAGAACTAGGTAGAAAATAAACGAGGCGTTCGGGCGGTTTGCCGTTGCCTGAATGAACGGGCGCTACGGGCGATTTCGATGCGAAAGAGTTAATAGATTCTTATCTCTTATCGGGTAGAGATTTAGCAGTTGTCAAATACATATGAGATTTTTCTGTAACTGTTTACTTGCTGCAGTTATCTTGTAATTATTGTGTTCTTTAACGCACATCACGTTTCATTTTTTTTTTAATTCAATGTATCGCATCTATGGGATGTTAAGCAGTAAATGCCTGAAATAAACAGATAAAAAGAGGGGTTTTCTTTACCACCGAAGAACTTTTAAATCGTGAACAAAGTTGCATTAGCAGCTACTACCTTTCTGTCTGCTGGATAACAAACAACGGCTACATAACGGGATAACGGGCTACATACCGTTTTCTTTAGCTAATATTAAGGAACACTTCACGAAATAATACACGTAGATTATTTGAAGGCAAAAGGTTAGACAGTATGTACTTCAAGTTAGCTTTTATAAATAGTTCAAAGGTAAATTAACATCAATATGTATAATTAGAAGTACAAAATTAGATATCAGAAATTTTAAATGCTATCTTGAATATATTTTTAATAGCAAAACGCCCATTTTCTTAAAATGTGATACGAATTAATTTGAACACTATGCGAGCTCATTCGAAGCATAAAACAACTTTTAGCTTGTAAGTCTACCTACTTTATGCTGCTAATGTGCACGCTGTATATATCCCTAACTGTATACAGTATGTGAAGCACAAAACCATTCGTTCATCAAAAAGCTTATATTCTACAACCGAAGTAATCGTTTTATAGCTTTTCAGCAGATTGCAAAACACAAACCTGCAGGCCACATGCCCTCAGTTGCCCACCACTACATTAATGAAATAAGATTACAGAAACGCAAATTTTCAAAATTTTCATTGACAGAAAAGTTGAATGTATCAGGAAAAGTTAATGTAAACTTTAAATTCGTTCTGGAAATTAGTTCTCAAAGTTAATATGTGTATTATATTTCTACCATGATTTCGTTTCTTTTATATCTGCAGTTACAGTCAGAAAAGCAATTAACTTATTTTTCATATTCACAAAGAATGCAACAGGTTAATGCAGAATTTTAATATGATTGCTGCTTAATGTTCAACATTTCTGTTTTAAGTGTTATAATATATATGCTTAGAGAGGTTAAGAGAAATTCCTTTGAAAAATAAAATAATGTTACATTTTTTAATGGTCTATCTTTCGCTTATATTTGAAATCCCAGAATAATGACTCTGATTGAATCTTAGTAACATTTAACAAAAGAAAAAAAGACTGAAACCCTGAAACCCTATTATTAATTAACTTCTTTTTTTATATCTTTAAGGTACATGAAACTGCTGAACGTGTTGAATTTCTGAAGCAGTGGCACGATGTTCAGGTAGCACACCCGATTTATCTATCTGTAAAAGGAACAAGTCAACAGAACTTTTCATTTCCGGCCAAATACCAAGATACATATATCCATAAGAACCATGCTTTCTGGCTCAATGTTCCAATCTTACGACAGAAGCCCAAATCGGGATTTATGGGATTTTATCGAAGAACTTCTAAAGAAAGGATCGCACTTGATATTTTCGGTCATATACCTCGTACAATTACCGGAAACAAGTACAACTAGTTTATTATGGAATACTTTAAGTAATTAAATAGAGACGTTCGCCATACCTAACTAAGAAGCTTCAACCGTCGTCAAAGATCTGGTAGAAAACTGGTTTCCCGGTTTAGGGTGTCTCTGTTTATTCAATCTGACCAAGGAACAAACTTCACGTCAATCATGTTTAAAGGGTTATGTGAGATTCTCGGTATGGAGAAGACTCAAACGACTTTTTTAAATGGCTTGGCGGAGAGATATAATCGAACAACATTTCACTAGAATTTTCTATTCCTATCTGAGAGCCAGCAGGACTGGGATCATTATTTCTTTATCTCATCTAGAATTGCCATTCATGAGAGCGCTGGTATCCCAATTGATTTCTGACCATGATTTTCGTCTGCCGTGTGGCCTGCTCTTAGGCTACCGCCGGACATCCCCTTAAGCAGTACCTAGAAGATCCACAGGCACTTTTAAAAGAAGTACATTGGTTGCCAGAAGAAAAACCAACACAGTAACTGAGATGATAAAAATTAAGTATAATGCCAAGCTTACAGTGAGAGAATTCAAATAAGAAAATTAATAGCCTAGTTGTAGAACCTTTAGCGTCTTCGAGGGATTTCCCCCTTGCAGCAGATACTTCGGGAAAAGCTTTCCGTGTGATTAAAAGGTTAAACGATGTAGTGGTGCATATCCAATGGCATTTTTTAAACCTAAATTAGTGCATTACGATAGACGTGGAACTTTATTACGTCAATGACTGTTAGTTCTTCTGTGTTGTTGTACTGCACTGACCAGGACATCATTAAATAAGGAGCGATGTTGTGAATTTCTATGTAAAGTTCTATAAATATTTAAGTTAATTTGCTTGCATAGTTGCTTTTGTGTGTTCGTGTAACGTTTTCTATCCCTTTAGACATTTATTTATTTATTGGCTTTTTTTTCAGGGTGATAACTTTAACACATATTTTGGGAGTAATTGAATTTATGGCCCCATGTTTCTTATATAATTGTTTGTTTTTTATACCGAACTGGAAATCGAAATTCTGAGTTCAACATCATGAGATTTGACAAAATAGCTCAACTATATCGCGTAATATGGCTAATAGGCTGTGGACGTATGTTTACTAAATATGTATTTGACAATTTTGAAATTTCTCAATAATTTGCGGCTTTCCGGCAGATCCTAGAAGAAGCATTTTCGAATATCTACGATTAGCTTTTCAGCTAAAGCAGCCCTGGAATTAACGTTTAGTAATGGCAAACACAAGAAGATTTTCGCAGGTTTTATGTTAAATTTGCAGTCTATTCGGAGAGGATGCAGCATATACTCATTAGTTAGCGCAATTGAAAAACAGCTGATGTTGCTTCCTGGAAATCTGAAGCTAAACTTAAATTGGTACCGGCTCACACTTGGATCTTGAGTAATGAAACAGCTGACAAAATTGATAAAAGCGGAGATAACCATTCATTCATGTGTACACTCAAATATATTCCTTCCTGTCTAGTATTTCAAAGCCACACTCTTGGATGAATTATGTAAACAACTATTCGCATAACTATTGGAACATGGCTGTTACTGGCAAAAAACTGTACAACATGTTTCCTAATGTGGATCAAAACTTAATTAGCGACTGTCCGCAGTTTGTTCAATATTTAACAGGGCGTAGCTCATATAGTATTTCCTACTTGCGTCATTTTGGCATCAAAAATAATGACTTCAACATTTACTGCAGTACTGATCACTATTTGGTCGATCGCACGTATACCAAAAACTATCATTTGAAGGGTCTGTGCATTGAATCCTCGACAATCATGGGCCAAAATATATATCAATTCAATCGCTTATGACACTGTTCTCCCATTGCTAAGAGAATAGCTGACCGCCTGGAAACATTTGCTGCCTTTTTTCTCTCCCCTTCATCCCCAAGAAAAGAACCTAAAATATAAACATTTGTATTTTATTATGTATTTTCCTCTTTTTATATGGAGACCTTGTATTTTATATCCCTGTGTTACTTACTGAACATAATTATATGTTTTCTGCAGTTATTCAGGAATGTATTTATACTTGTTGCTCTGTTGTAATGTTTTGTTTTATGATTTGTCTCCCTAAATATAATTATCTTATAACTTTTATACTAATACACTGTTATGTTTTAGAAATATACTGATTGGTAGGTAAATTTATGCCTTGCTTTGAACTGTTTTTATATGGAAATGTTTATGCAAATATTGCCATGTGGACATTTTCTCACTCTGAATTCTGCTAAAATTTGCTATTTTGTGTCTTTATAATAGTAACTGTCTTGCCTTAATTTTTTACCTTGCTTTTGATTGTATTCTTATGGGAATGTTTATACAAATATTATTATGTCCACATTTTATCACTGAGAATTCTGCTACCATATTTGCCTGTATAATAGTTTATATAATTTATATCCTTATCATAATGTATCATAAATATATAAATATTTATGATAAATAATATAATAAATAAATATTTTTTCAATAATATATATAGATAAATACTTTTTTTTCTTTCCTTACATACATATAATAAATATTAAAAAATAATAAATAAATATGTTTTTCTTTCCTTACATGCAAATAATGTAATGCACAGAATTGAGCTGTCTGAACTTACTGCCTATCTTCTTTCCCTGTTAGACCTCTTATAATTAACTGGCTAAAACGTTTTTCCTTCTTCAGATGCATATATTTTGTTTGCATCCCAAGGACTGGCCTGGTAGATATGGCATAAGCTAAAGGGAGGATATAGCACAAGCGTGATAATGCGGCTTTTTGCCGAAAAGCTAAGTGAACCCAGTCAATGGCTGCCCCATTATCGGTAGAAAAGGAGAAAAAAGGCCGTGCAACACTGTATAAATACGACTTCGAGAACAAAGCCAAGACAGTGTTTAAGTCAGTTTTTACAGTTTTCAATAGTATCACTTTTAGAAACTGGTCCAAAGAGAATCGGTTGAATTGCCTTTTAGAATATACTGAGAATTTTTGCCAGTTCACGATATTTTTCTTCCACTAAGCAGTATTCGCTTTAAATTCGTCTTCTTCTCGAAACATTTTTAACCATTTAATTTGCTCAGGTGTCATTTTTATTTAAATTAAATTATTAATTTCTTCCATGTCATCTGGAGTTATTGATTAAATAGCAACAATATCGTGTTCATGCAATGACACTTAACTTCATTTCGATTTCTAAAATTTCTGGTTTCTGGGAGAAAACTAAACATATCTAAGAAATACCAGACGCTCATTTATTATCGCAAAATTTAATGAAAAGCCCAATTATTTAAAAAAATGACGCTATTTTGAGAGATTTAATTTAATTTTCTTCTTTATCTATTTTAGTCAATATTTTCAGACACGCTCAAAATTCCCAATTCATTTTTCAAGGATTAAATAAATGTGCGTTGTGTAGAGTTTCTTACTTCACATTGTAGAAACCTAATGAGTACCTAACGTAACATAACTAACGAGGTATTTTGGATGCAGGAGAGATGAAAAATGAGAAAGCCTTATCCGGGATTCGAACCACGGGCCTCTCGCATACGCGCCGAGTTTGCTGACCACTGCACTATGAGAGCATGCTAAGAAGGCGGGAGAAATGCCTTATATACTCCGCCTTTTAAAGGGCGACTGGGGATTATAGGACTCAAACGCCAAATCCTGGTCTTGAAGTGTCATCATTCACCACCTTTTAGTTCGGGCGCCACTGTAGAGACATTAGGTTTTATTTAAAAGCAGAAGATGGGAAAACAAAGCAATGCGCTCACCGGAAATCGAACCACGGACTTCTCGAATACGCGCCGAGCGTGCTGACCACTAAATTACGAAGGCATGCTAAGAAGGAGGGAGAAATACCTTATAACATGACTGTTTTTTTATTCTTAATATTAAACACTCGACTGACCCTTTTCCTTACCTGATTGCAACTTTGCTAAAATTTCATAATTCTAGCAAAGTAGAGAATAATTATTCTTGATTGGTTTGCTTTAGGTTCGTTTTGCTTGATATTTACGTTTCTTTCTAGCAGATTATGAAATTGTGTGTATTTAGAAAATGCATTGTTATTAGGTTCAGTCCTGTAAATACTTCTTGCGCACAGTACATTAAATACTTCTATGTTTTTATTAATCTTATTTTTGTTAAATGTAAAGATTTCTTTTGTCAGACATTCCTTAAACTTACGCTTAAAATATATTTTAAGTGATTTGATTATACAATCCTTAATCTCAGAATTTAGTCGTTAATACCCAAAGTTTAGATTTATAGAAAAAATGAAGGAGTAGTAAGGAAGAAAATGAAGAATGTCAGTCTCAGCATTATTTCCCATCATGCTTCAGGCAAGAATTTCGCAGAAACATTTTACTCGCACTTGCTTGCTTGAGAAAGGCAGTTTTGACTTTTATTGACATATCCGCAAAACAGCTTCTGCCATTGATATTATCTCATACGATTCTTATATGCATCAGTTTTTTCGGTGTTACTGTACTTGATTTTCTTCTATAGATCCAGCGAAATGAATTCATTCATATTGATATAAAAATTTATACTTCAGGATATTATGAAAATTCCTGTCAAAAATATAAATGGTAAGGTATATACTGTTCTTTTTTTCAAGAAACTACAACTAAGATTTTCTATTCCGTAATCGATTATCTCAACTACTGAGCAAATAAATAAAATGCATCCTGTTACATTGTAGTTATGAATCTATTCTTTCGATATTTGCATATAAGAATGATATTGATGATAGTTTATTTTAGAACTAATATTTATTTTTTCTTTTTATTATAATAAAAAGTTACAGTTTAAGAAAAGAAATTTCTGGTTTGCAAACTTTCAATAACACAGATTTTGAAACTTAAAAGTAAGTAAAAGGTCAAAAAGGGCATTTTAGAAGACATTTATACTCCTACATGTAAGGCAAAATTTTTGTAAATGTTTAGTTAAAATATATTACGACAGGTTCATTTATAATGATAGTGAATACTAATCCAGACGTCAATTTGAAAATAGAACGCTGATTGTTGTTGTTTGACGTCTGAATTAGTATTTGTTCGGCGTGTTATTGTGTCTTAATGATAGTGAATATTATAAGGTTCATTCTTATGAATTTGTTTCTTAGAGTATAAAACAAAGCACTTAAAGTTTTATTGAGTTAACATGCCAAGTCGGTTTAATTTAAAGAAATTATCTTTTATTTGCTGAAAAAAAGCATTATCGAGCTGAAAAAAAGCAGTCTAGAGTTTGGTTTCCTCTGATAAAATAAACTAGCACCAAACTCCTAAAAGATGTTAAGCGAATTATCGCTCTATCGGAAAAGAACTGTAAAACGCTTAAACAGACCTCTTATTGAATCAGAACTTGAACATACGTAGCGTATTCGGAAACTAAGTACCGTTTCATTCTAGCGCCGTCGCCGCGCCGTGGTAGGCGTCCCGCGCATGCGCACTAGTCTTTCTTGTTCACTGACTTTCAATTGTCGCTATTTTGGTTGCTCTATGTTGTGTTTTCAGTTTGCTGTGCACATTCAAAATGTTTAAGACAATTAGTTCTCCCGCTGACTGTGAGATTCGTGCCGTGATTAAATTTTTGAACGCGAGGAATGTTAAACCGGCCGAAATTTATCGTCAAGTGACACAGGTTTACGGTGAATACGCGATAAGTGATGAAATGGTGAGAAAGTGGGTAAGAATGTTTAATGCAGGTCGAACAAATGTCCACGCCGAGGCTCGGAGTGGTCGGCCTTCTGTTGTCACCGATGATTTGGTAAGGAAAGTTGATGAAGCAATTCACGAGAACAGATGCTTCACAATGACAACTCTTTCAGAGGCATTTCCACAAATTTCACGTACTGTTTTGTTCGAAATTGTGTCTGACCGCTCGAATTATCGCAAACTGTGTTTCCGATGGGTTCCAAAAATGCTCACTGATGTTCACAAAACAAAGCGACTTGGTAGTGCCCTGACATTTCTCACGCGGTACAGTGATGAGGGAGAAAACTTTTTAAACTAAATTGTGACAGGTGATGAAACTGGGGTGTGTCATTTCACACCAGAATCGAAACAACAATCGATGGAGTGGAGACACACTCATTCACCGAAAAGTGTGGAGTCGTGGTTATCGAAACTGGCGGGAAGTTTCTTTGACGATGGTATACAAAAACTGGTCACCCGCTATGACAAGTGTTTGATCATTGGCGGAAACTATGTTGAAAAATAGTTTAAGAAAAATAGTTTAATGTATTTTCATGTAAAAATAAAATTGGATTCGAAAAAATTGTTTTACTATTTTTTTTTTCAAAACGGTACTTAGTTTCCGAATACGCCGTTCTCGTGCTCACATAAGGTGCCAACAATTGTTTCGATGAAATTTAATATACCAGTCAAATTCAAATTTAAAACTAAGACTTGTAAGCAAAGGCATGATTTAACACGAGATTGGATCAAAAATTTTCACCGGGGTAATAATTTAAACCACCGCAACTATAATGCGAAGCCGAAGATTTACAATCTTATTTGAACTAGAGAAATTTAGTACCATGTCCTCGAGAGGCAAGGATACGCTCTGACTTGCAACCCGAACAATCTGAGCTTAAATACTCAGAAATTAAGTTTTCATTCTGTTTAGGAAACGGAAGGGAGAAGTGGCAATAAAGATAAAAATCATAAAATAACTGTTTATGTGAAATAATACTTTATACCTTTTTTAGCTCTAGATTCTGAAAATTTTAAAAATATTCCTCTACATTTCACTTCCTCAACGCGTTCAGAGAAGAACCTCCCCTGAATTTTAAAAAATGTGGATTCATTCACGTAGTGAGAGTTCTTGTCTCATTTACGACGACAAATCCTCGCAAGTTATCTCCATAGATCACGCCGAGCCTTTCCCTTCTAAATGACAAACTTTATGCCAGTCAAGTACAAGAACCAACTATTGAGAACTTAAAAAATACGAACTGATGTTTCACTCTGCCATTTCGATAAGTCAGCCGCACATTCGCTTTCTCAAACTATTTACAAAGGAAGGAGTTGCACAAAGAACAATAAAAAGTGACGAGATACAAGTTACAGAGAAATACATAGAAAGGAATATTTCTTACTAGCCGCTACGCAGGCAGCGTTCCTCTGGTTTAAATGTACCAGAAAATTGCCTAAAGGTGACATCAAACATTAAATTTAGAAACTGCACAGAATTTTACTCCGCAGAACAACTTTATCAAAAAAAAAAAAAAAAAAAAAAAAAAAAGAAAAGAAAAGAAAGGGAAACCCACAAATTTCAATAAAAATGTATTACATATAAAGAAAATTACAGTGAAATAAGCAATATCCCTTAATACAAATTTAACTATCCTAATAAATAAATTAACCAACTTCCCGTTGCCTTTTCTCGACAAACGTCCACTACCCAAGAGAAACATTAAATTTAAAAACTGCACAGAATTATCGCTCTCATTTTTCCGAGTGGCAACAGTGCTGATATCAGCAACA